ATGACAGTAACGCAGCTATACTGTACAGACTAATTTTGTAATTATCCCACGTTTTATTCATTTCATAATATTACATGAATATTATCTGGGAAGAAATCATACGCATATTATATAATATGTTGTTCATAACATGAGATTTCCGTTGAAGAACAGAATAGAACAGAAAATCATTGACATGGAAAAAGTAATTAGCACTGAACTGGTAAAAACGATTGTTACAACAGTGCAACATTTCTGGTGCATTTTTATTCAGTTTCCCTCAGACTCAATTAAACTTCAAGTCTGCGCATACATGTATGTTTTTGTGATTATCACCCCACCCTTTCCCCAGATTATTATACTTCACAACAACAGGTGTCCAGTGCCGAGTAAAAGGTTGCCACGTGGGATCATTAATTCCAGCACTTTTAAAATTGTTGAAATAAAAATTGAGCGTTCCTAGGGGCGTGAGGATTGTTGCACTTTTTCAGTGTCCCTCATGTACAGACCTTAATTATCAAACCGAATCCGCAATGATCATGTTATTTTATTGCGATTCAGCTTCGATGGATCATCCTTTTTCGAGATTTTTTTTTACCAATTTGTTATATAAGACCGGTACGTGGTGGCTGAATTTAGAAACAATAATTAAACAAGATCTATTCTATTTCAGATATTTTAGGTCGAGAAAATGCTTATATAATAGCTCTAGCACTCCCTATCGCACGTCATGATTATATGTGGATATATAAGAAATAATCACGCATGTTATTGTATGTTTTTAATTACATGTACTTCGGACTTACTTGAATACAATGTATCTGCACTCAGTAAGGAAAATGGTATAAATTGAACCCAACTTGAAATAATAACAAGAAGCGCCGCAATGCGACGAAAACCAGGTTTTCAACGACCAAGTTTTGATGTGACAGCAATCAATAGGTCAAAGTGCACTGAAGTTATTGAGTAGATACTGAATATTCTATTGTAAGCAAATTACCTTGACCTTGCTCCCAGATATCTAAGTGGCAATCCAAAGCTGCCACTCAGCAAGGTCGGTGACAAAAGGTCAAAGCAAACTCAAGTTATAACGCATTAACCTTGATCACAGACACCTGGGTATAGCAATCCCAAGCTGCCTCTTGATATAAGCTACCCATTCATCAAGTTTGGCGTCAATAGCCCAAAGCAAACTTAAGTTATTGAGCAGAAACTGAATTTCTATTTTTAGTAACAGTGACCTTGACCTAGATCACAGACACCTGGGTAGCAATCCCAAGCTGCTTCTTGATATAAGCTATCCATACACCAAGTTTGGTGTCAATAGGCCCAAGCAAACTCAAGTTATTGAGCGGAAACTGAATTTCTAATTTTAGTAACAGTGACCTTGACCTTGATTACAGACACCTGGGTAGCAATCCAAAGCTGCCTCTTGATATAAGCTATCCATACACCAAGTTTGGAGTCAATACGCCAAAGCAAACTCGAGTTATTGAGCGGAAACTGAATTTCTATTTTTAGTAACAGTGACCTTGACCTAGATCACAGACAGCTGGGTAGCAATCCCAAGCTGCTTCTTGATATAAGCTATCCATACACCAAGTTTGGTGTCAATAGGCCAAAGCAAACTCAAGTTATTGAGCTGAAACTGAATTTCTATTTTTAGTAACAGTGACCTTGACCTAGATCACAGACACCTGGGTAGCAATCCCAAGCTGCCTCTTGATATAAGCTATCCATATACCAAGTTTGGTGTAAATAGTCCAATGCAAACTCAAGTTATTGAGCAGAAACTGAATTTCTATTTTTAGTAACAGTGACCTTGACCTTGATCACAGACACCTGGGTAGCAATCCCAAGCTGCCTCTTGATATTACCTATCCATACACCAAGTTTGGTGTCAATAGGCCAAAGCAAACTCAAGTTATTGAGCAGAAACTGAATTTCTATTTTTAGTAACAGTGACCTTGACCTTGATCACAGACACCTGTGTAGCAATCCCAAGCTGCCTCTTGATATAAGCTATCCATACACCAAGTTTGGTGTCAATAGGCCAAAGCAAACTCAAGTTATTGAGCGGAAACTGAATTTCTATTTTTAGTAACAGTGACCTTGACCTAGATCACAGACACCTTGGTAGCAATCCCAAGCTGCCTCTTGATATAAGCTACCTACACACCAAGTTTGGTGTCAATAGGCCAAAGCAAACTTAAGTTATTGAGCGGAAACCAAAAGTTGACGCCCGCCCGCCTGCCCGCCGACTTCGGCATTACAATAACCCGGTTTTCGTTGAAAACCTGGTTAATAAATTCGCCACGTGCAAGGTCATAGGCTTTGGTGCGCATCCATTCAAGTGTAGATCAAGTAATAGAAAGAGCACCGAAACACGAGGCTATCTGATTTGTACGAATGGGGGTAGCCCCCGAGTATTAATCAGATTGCCGAGTGTTTTGGTGTTCTTTCTCTTTTGTATCATAGTCAAACATAAAAGCACGTTCCCTGTTGTCACAATATGAAACCCCGGCAAAAATGAACCAATGAACGAACATCTGAATATGACATTTCTGTCGCTTTCCCTTTCTCTGCCGTCACAATATGTAAACCCCAGCAAAAATGAGCCAATCAATGGGCATGCTCTGGAGTGCGGGTAACTAATACCCGCACTCCAGTTAACGCACTGTGCATGTATATGTATACAATTTAACCCTGACTGATTTAACTCCAAACTATGATACAAACTTCGTTTACAACTTTAGTAAAGTGTCAAAGAAAATTATCGAACTGCATTATTTGAACACTCATGACGATTACGCATGTAGAAGTAATATGTGTACTAGTAATTTTGATACTTGACCTATTTTTCTCTGGTGACTGTTTAGTAATGAGTTTTTAACCTTAAGAACAATTAAAATAATTTGATTTTTTATATAAAAGATCTTCTTGAATTAACGTCACAATTACAAATATTATATAAATTTGATAAGATACATTTTTCATTTTTCTGCTTAATGTCACTACATTTTGAGTCTTGACAACAGTAAATATTACTACACGCATGTGCACTTATGCATTCAACTAGAAATACATGTACATTTTTTTATATTAATTTCATGATAAATTTAGAATCGTTTGCACTTTTCCCAGAAAATCATTATTTTTACATTAAATAATTATTTGTTCAACACATATTACACTAGCAATTCATAACATTTCATGTTTATACAGTTTTAATTACATGTATATGCTTTATAAAATGACATTATTTTATCAGTGTCAAGTTAAGCTTTTCCAAAGATCGACTGTTGAAATGGTGATATACGAACAGTTGCTATTTTGAAAATGTTAGGATAAAGTATCAATCTGTCTAAAATATTTTTTAAAAAAAGCGCCACTCTTTTATAGATTGAATGTTACATGTTATAATTCCAATGCATATTTATAGAATTTCCTTGTGACACGTGAGTCTGCGAAGAATATGAAATTAAAAGAAATTATGGCAAAAATTAATCTGTAGCTTATTTCGACTGTCACCAGTTGATTCACTACTACATACCCTTTGATGGGCATAATGATTCATTTTCAAAACTAGGATATGGTAATACTATTATAGCTTGTCCAACCGTTACCTTCTATTAGAAAGTCGCTCCCTCTAACTCCTATATGTTCTGAGCATTTAACCAGAAAACATTTTGTATTCGTATATTTATCGTATTTATGTTGAATAAAATATAATTATTATGTTATGTTCTGTTCTATCACACGAGGGATTTCTGGCAAATTATAGAATAAACATGTGAGAACAAATTAACATTATACCACTTTTATTGATGAATTGTTCCAAGACGTTAGTGCCTTGTTCTTGTACTCATTCACTATAATGAAGCAACAATTGTATGTCCAGGAATTGACATCATTATACGCAGAAGTAAATCTTTTGGTAAAAGGCAGCAAGCAAAAGTATTTGAATTGCATTTTACAAAGCTTTTTTAAGCTTATAAAACAGTTAAAATGTTCCATTTTTAAGATACACATGTACACGTCATAATGGCAATTCTGTAAACTGGAGGATATTTGAATGCACTTCTAAACTGTGTATATATAGTATACAGAATTCTCTCCTTAATTTTTAGTAAGGTTAAAATCACATGCATAAGAAATAAGGCGAATAAAAGCTAACAAAGATTAAAATGTAACATTTTAATCTTATTCAAATATTACCAAAAAAATGAGTATCTAAAAGAAGTAGATTTTTTTCATAATTTTCATTATTTAAATACTTACATGTAGATAGAATTAAGATAGACGTTCCTTCAACAATACCCAGTAAAACAGGCACCAGCTGGGCACCGAAGAAAAACATATGAGGGCAAAAGGGCGCTGTAAAGAGGGGATGCCAATTAATTATTGTCAATAATTATAATTAACAAAAAAATATGATTAATTTTATATTTTGACAGCAATACTTATTTTCCCTATGTGATGCATAAAATGGTCTCATTGCTTCCCGAGCATGAAAACAGTGAATATCACGAAATCAGCTTCTTCTTTAGTTAATGTACTGGCCACCTTCAACTACAATGTAACTGAAGTTTACTGCCAGGTTAATGCGCAGGAGAGAAAGAAAGAGTAAAATAGTGAGGAATATATACAGTCCAGGTTAAAAACTGACAAGAGTGCGGTTTAGAAAAAGAGTTGGGACAGATGAGTACTTATGCATATATTTAGCATAATATTCAGTGAATTACTGGGTGTATAGGCAAATTGTAACCTTTAAGCACATGCATGGTGACATGTGGATCCGGGTCGTACCCAACGCTGGTTAAGCTTATAAGAAATGCATACATTCATTATAATTAACAACATGAAATGGGCACCTGCTCTTCGAACTGTGAACATCACGATGAAGATTAAAATCGGTTAAATAAAACTAATCAATTCAATTTAGTAAGTTTGATGATTAATTTTATTTAATGGTGTACAACCTAAGTAAAATTTAGTGGTGTGTTATCCGCGAAATAATTTTATGGATTTGTTTGCCCTGACGTCATCGGACGGCCATATTTTGCTGAGAGAGGGTAAACGTCGAAGTTTGTTGTCACCTCATACAAATATATTGTCCTGAGACAAGATGGGACGGTCACGGAGCAGGAGTCGATCAGCAAGTAGAGTAAGTAAGTCTACCTCAAAACATCGCAGTAAGCACAAGAAGAGGAGAACCAGATCAAGATCGACTTCTCGTGACAAAAACCACAGACACAGTCGAGTTCGTTCACGATCAAGAGACAGAGAAAGGAAACGCAGGTAGAGATCTAGATTATTTTTATTTTATTTTACAAAATATTACTTCAATTCATATTGATGTATGGACTTCTCATTTTATGAATGAGACGAAAAGACACTGGGCCCAATTAGATCTACATTCTGTATGAATATTTTACATTATCAGAGTCAGACTAGAGTGGGTGGACCAACGCTCGGCGTAAAAATACTAGAGTGGTTGGACCAATGCTCGGCGTAAAAAATATTTTTTTTAGAATATATGAAAATGTCTTGAGTTATCTCCGATTTAGGTCACTGGTGCTTTTATTTACATCTTTCACCAATTTATCCTGGTGTGGTTCACTGCTGGTAAAGTCACGCGACAATGCTAATAGCAGACGAACAACCGTATGTAATCCCCAAGAAATAAATTATTAAAATCATTTAACACTAGAGTTCTGGGGCTGTAAAATTTAAACTAAAAGTTGGGTACTTGTAAATGTATGAACCTAATTTGGTTGTTACAATTTATTCAATATGTTTTCTGCATAATATAAAAAAGAGATTTTATTCGAAAAACAATCCTGCATAATGTAGTATTGTACGCCGAGCTATGGTACAATTTCACGCAAACCACTCTTGTTTATCCGGACTATCTATAGCTCCAGCCATGCACATCATTATGTGATTAGCGAATTTTACACAATTGCTATTTAAAACAATATCATCGGTCTTGAAAATGGGCATATAACATTGAGGTTTGTTGACGTTGATTTGAATTTGTCATATCAAATATAGTATTTTTACGCCGAGCGTTGGTCCACCCACTCTATATTTGATACGGCAAATTCAAATCAACGTCAACAAACCTCAATGTTATATGTCCATTTTCAAGACCGATGATATTGTTTTAAATAGCCATTGTGTAAAATTTGCTAATCACATAATGATGTGCATGGCTGGAGCTATAGATAGTCCGGATAAACAAGAGTGGTTTACGTGAAATTGTACCATAGCTTGGCGTACAATACTACATGATGCAGGATTGTTTTTCGAATAAAATCTCTTTTTTATCTTATGAAGAAAACATATTGAATAAATTGTAACAACCAAATTAGGTTCATACATTTACAGGTACCCAACTTTTAGTTTAAATTTTACAGCCCCAGAACTCTAGTGTTAAAAGATTTTAATAATTTATATATGTTGGGGATTACATACGGTTGTTCGTCTGCTATTAGCATTGTCACGTGACTTTACCAGCAGTGAACCACACCAGGATAAAAATGGTGAAAGATGTAAATAAAAGCACCAGTGACCTAAATCGGAGATAACTCGAGACATTTTCAGATATTCTAAAAAAAATTATTTTTTTACGCCGAGCATTGGTATGCGCCGAGCATTGGTCCAACCACTCTAGATTAAAGACATAAATGTAGTTCTATCTCAAAAGTAGTCCCTTTTTCAGAGAAGAAACTTTGGTACGTTCCATGAAACAAAGTGGCTCATGAGTCTAGTAGCTAGTAAGCAAATCAGTAATATTCAGTTAATTAAAACCTCTGCAGAGCACAAATTTAAAACAACAGGATCAATTCTTCCCTGTCTTTGGGTCAAAAGGGTCCAACTAAATGCTGCAAAGTCAAGCAAAATCTAGTAAAATAAGTTATTTCTTTAATTTCTTTGTGACTTTGCTAGACTTCGCATGACTACAGTACTTGACATTGTAGTGATTAGTAGGACCTTGGCCAAAGTAAGACTAAATAGTAAATTTTTAAGTATCACAGCAATAACCAAAGTTAAATTAAGTATAGGACTGAATTAATATTACAAATACTGTTTGTTTTCACTGGTGTAAAAAGCGTAAGAAATGGAACTAGTCGCAAGATATATTTATTTGATTATCATGTTTTATTTTAGGCACCGTTCTCTGTCATCTAGCAGTTCAAGTAGTGATGATGATTTAATATTAAGAGCAAAACGCAGGGAAGAAGAAGAGAAGAAATTAGAACTAGAACGGCAGCGACTTCAGTACGGTTACTTTTATCATTTTAACATACATAGATTCCTACATAGCCTTAACCTGACTGATTTGAATTATCTGAATTTTACCACATGTTTTTTAACCTAAAGAACACTTATTGATATTTGTGGTTAAATATATTGTTATTGAAGTAAAACGTCAGAGGAGGGATAGATCTGTCAAATTGTTCAAGTAAATTAAGAACACACATGATTCCGTTATTGCTTATGTCACCTGACACCCTCTTACCTCTAAAATATATATTAAATGAATTAGAAAAAAGGTGATGAGAAACTGTTGAATTTGATATTTAATTATGCTTAAGAAATTGTCATTAAAAATAAAATGAGAGTGTTTCAAGAAGAAAGAAAAAGGGACTAAAACTGTATTTAATTTTTAGGAAACAAAAGGAACTTGAGGAGAAGTTGATAGAGGAGGAAGTTGCTCGACGTGTTGAGGAACTGGTTGCGAAGCGAGTCGCTGAGGAACTTGAAAAACGTAAAGATGAGATTGAGGCTGAGGTCAAACGTCGTGTTGAAGAAGCGAAACAAATCATGGAGAAACAGATGTTACAGGAGTTAGAACAACAAAGGGCAGCTGAAATAGAGTCTCAAAAACGGAAGGAGGTACAGAGTCGTTTCGATTGGCATTATTACAGAAGTCCAGACATGCCTTTTTGTAGCTATGTCTCTGGATTTTTTTGTCTGTTATATAGAATCAGACTGAAAAAAAAGGAATTATTTTCTATACTTAAATAACTGGTTGGCAAGTGAAAGAAGTAGATCTAATTTGAATTTTATTGGATATTTTTTTATCTTAATTCTGACTATCGATGCATTTTCTGTGGTGACTCGACAACATTTGAGCCTCTAATGGTATCTTGAATGTTCTTTTTTTTTTAATGAAACCAGAAGAAAATTTCATTTGCCAATCATTGTAGCTTTAAGAGGGATTCTTGAAAGGAACTTTAAAAAAAAAGGATAAGAAAAAGGAATTGTGGGCAAGAAGTTAGGTACTTTTTATTAACAGTTTTTTTTCTAAAGAAAATAATTCCTCTATTAATACTGAATATGTTTTTAAGACATTTATTTATATTCATGCTACCCTCTTAAAGACTTAACAGAGAAACAGAGAATTATTCTATTTACAATGTAAAATGAGTGACATCTCTAAATTGATTTTAAGATTTCATGAGCCTTTATATCATTAACTTTTAGTATTAATCATGAAGCTTCACTTGCTTTGAATGTTTCTTGTCTAAAATTATTGTTATGCAAATGCTTTAGCGTTTGCGTAATGCCATATAACAATGAAAGATTCTCTCATTTTATTGTGTAAATATTATTGGAGAAAAAAAGCCTGTGTATTTGAAAACGAAATTGTAAATGTAGTTATTTTTTTCCCTTTATTTTGTAATGCGCAATCGAAAGTTATGAATAAAACCATCTGACTTACATAGTACTGTGTCTGGCAATCTGTGTAAAGTTTTTGCTTGGTTTTGGGTTTTTTTATTGTAGAGATAAAAGCAATAATACAAAAATAACACTGCTAATCGAATGTTTTGTTTTCACCACATAAGTGCACCCGAAAGTTTGTCTAAATTTCCCGAACTTGTAAGTACATACTTTCTGTAACTTGTGGCTTTATACACCATTTTTTTGTGTGTACACCATTGGAAAGTAAAAATAGAGCACAGGACTGTTTGTACTTTGATTCTGCCAAAGTTTCACTGTAATGACAGTGTTGAAAATGATGGAATGGATTTTGTTGGAAATGATTTTGAGTTGTTTTTGGTATTAATACTATTATATAATATAGTAATGAAATTCATTCTTAATGATATGAATATACAGTTAAGCAATTTTGCTTAAAGTTAGGCAACGTCACATTAAGTTAGGCATTTTGTGCAGATAATCTTCGTCACATATTTTTATAGTTTGCTAAAAAATCATTTTTTTTTGATTATTTTTCAAAGTAACATGTTACAAATTATTAAGTTTACTATATGTAAACTTAAGTTTCAAGTGTAAAACATAATCTGTGCCCTATTTTGATAGCCTTGCTGGTACACTATATACATGTCTATTCTGTTCAGTTCTGTTCCTTTAATCCTCTCTCTTGCAGCATAGTGGATTCCTTTTTCTGCAAACAACAAATAGGCAATTTTTTTTCCATTTCTTTTAGGTTTTCGGAAAATTATGCCTGCAAGTATTTTTAATATCTTAAATCATTTTAGTTAATTGCAATGCTAACTGATTTTTCCTACCCATTAAATTGTCCGGATTTAGCTCAATGTCGCATGCAGAATATTTATGAAGAAATTTCACGGCACAGATTGGCGATTCGAGGACCGTTAGTAGGTAAAGTACATTTGGGTAAAATAACTTGTACAGCAAAGATGGGAAATATAGTTCTAGGATGTCCATCCAAAATTAATGAGAACAATATTGCATTAAAAAAATTGCAGTTTTTGTTGTTTTCAAAATTCATGTTTTGGTAATGAATGGTCAGGTGGGATGGACTAACGTAAGTATGCATAACCATGAAAGGTTTTCATTGTTTTATAATGAAAGCCTTTATTTTGCTTTTTTATATACATAAGACATCATTAATTAAGGAAGATCATTTTAGTAAAGATATGTTGTTATTTATAAGGTACTAAGATGATATGTTAGGATGTGAAGATAGTAAATTAACACGTAACGGAAACTTCAACCAGACGTAAGACGCCCATATAGATCGACGAATCTATTTGGTCTTGATGAAATTTAATGATTTTTCATAAAAGCAAAATATTACTGTTTTACTTTGTCGTTAATATTTGTCATCAAATACAGCAGTTTATGAAATTCACATCTTACTCTGAGGTAGCCGAACCGTCGTAAAAAGTCACGATTATATTTTTACGGCTTGTGTTTTCATTTTTGGAAACGAATAGTTGTAAAAGTTTAAAAGTGCTTGAAGTTGTGTTTTAGGAGTAGAACATTGTACATGAAAATGTGCCTATGGGTAATGAAAATTTACCTGAAAGTTTGTCTTAGGGTAATATGATGGTTTCAAAGACTGCTATTGTCTTAGAATGTTGACCAACAATAACTTTAGAAAACCTATTTTTAGGAGGAGGAGAGACAGAAACGGTTAGAGTTGGAGAGGATAATGTTAGAAAACAACAAAAAAATCGAAGAAGCTCAGCGGAAATTGGTAGGTTCTTTTGTACAATCTAAATGACAGTAAAAACTCTTTCCAGAAGAGGTTTTGCTTTTTACAGAATATATTTTAGTTTGATTGTGTAGGAAGCTTAAAGCTTATAAAAACACCCTCGTATATGTTCATTAAACCAACCAGTACTGAGCAATGAGTGTAAAGCATTTTGCTCAAGGAACAACGGCTAGCCTCTGACAGGGTTTGAACCCACACCCACTGCGATTCTTAGATTAGTGGTCCGACACATTAAGTTAACCAAGAGGATTTATAATCTTAAGCTCAATTGTTATACATCAGACAGATTGTTCACTTTGACAGTTATCTTTTGCCAGAAATTGCCTCTTTAACTTCAGCAATAGTTATTGTTCCTGCAATGCTGTTAAGATTTTTAGGATGTACCATTGAAATTTTTTTCTAGAAACTACTTTGACTAATGATTTCTAACTTCACGTATTATGTATATTGCATCATGATAAAACATCCTAAAATGTTAAAGTTACAAACTGTTGGCTAAAAATCTTAAAACAAGAATTTTTTCTCTCAAATTTTAAGTTTTATTGTGAAGTGAAAACGTATTTACTGAAATACTAGTTCACAATATAAATGTATACATAACCTTTTGCAAATGTGAATCTTTCTCTGTTTCAAAGGCTGAGGAACAATTAAAACTAGTAGAAGATCAGCGTAAAATGCTGGAAGAAAAACAGCAACTTGAAGACAAAAGACGCCACGAAACAAAACGTGAGCAAGAAGTGATTCTCAACAAGAAAAATGCACGACCCAAATTGTCTTTTAGTATCGGAGGCAGATGATCATTGCTGTGTGTTTATAAATGGGAATTAAATCTTACCAATTCTGCAAGCGTACAAGATAAGTGTCAAGATAAGTGGTTTGCCAAAGTCGGTTTCATTTATTTTACACGAAAAGTCACGGTGCATCCAGCTGTGACTGCTTATCCATAGGGCAGTATTACTTGTGATGAGTATTCATTATACATCAGTCAAAGGCTGTATTTATATTATGATTCTTTAAAAAGCAAGTAGTGAATGTCAGTTAGTAGTATATAAATGTGAAATGTTTCGCGGAATGTGAAGGAATTAATAATGGTTCAGTCATTAATTGGATATCAGCTGAGCTGTTAAAAAATGATACGAAAGAATTGAATGGATACAGATGTGTGCTATGCGTTTTTGTAAAAATGTGCCGAATTTGGAAGAAATGCAACAGACATGACTGAAAAGTGAATCTCTGTAGAATGTTTGCACCTTGTACTTGTCAGGGACGCTTGAATCATATTTCAAGTTCCTATAACACCTTTGCTCAGGATTTTTGGGTAATTTTGTTATGAATAAGACTCTTCAGGGAAACATCTATTTTATTGAAACTTAGAAATATCCTGTTGATTCGTATTTTTTTTCCAGTTATCAGTTGAATGAGGCAAATTAGTTTTTATTCTCGCAACATGTCAATCAAAATGCTTAACATATATTAGAAATGGGTTAAATTGTCTTCAAACTAAATGCTGACAATCTCGATAAGTTGGTAGTTTTCACTAAAGTAACTATGACTGATTTTTGTAGATTTTTCTGAATAATTGTAATTCAATGCATTTATTTTACATGATTTAATTGATAGAAATTTATAGTGATTTCTAGACTTTAAGGCATTATCTAAGAAAAAATAACATGACATTTTCATAGTCACCTTGCCAGGTTACAGGTGATTATTTTCTTTCTGTGTATGTGGGCTGTAAGTCTTCATACATTATACATACATATACATAGATTAAAGTTAAGCAACCTTTTGATTTTTTGGCTGTGAAATAGAAAATTTTCAATGCTCAAAATCACATGGATGCATAACTTTTTTCTATGTGTACATCTGTTTATCTAAATGAACTAGTCTATTTTAGAGGTAAGTAGTTTAGTATTTAAGTTTATTACTTTTTCCCATTGCCTGAATGCCAGAAATAATTATTATGGCAAATAAGCACTTTTTCTGAAAGAAATTATCCAAATATGCTAGCATTCTGAGATTTATGAAAAATATTACCATTGAATTTGACACTTAAATATTTACCCAGTCTGAGTGACAAAGTATAGATACCCATGTTATTACTAATAATATACAGTCCTGCACTAGAGGTTTTAAATATCTTATAACAATGTTATATATCATGTATTATTTCATCTACAAGAGTTTATGTATTATTTTCATTGTGCTACATTTTTGTAAGGAGTCTAGAAATTTTAATATTTGCATGTTTGTCAGAGTATATGATTATTATATTTGTGTAAAGACCATTTCTTAGCACTCCAGATATACCAAATTTGAATCAAAAATATATTGAGAAAATACTGACTGGTACTTGTGTAGTTTCCACAAAATATTTTTTAATCTAAGTCACTTCAGAGTTTTGTATAGTAAACATATATTATAAGACTGGAAGTAAATCTGTATTCTTTGACAATGAAGAGAAGATAAAGTCCTTGAAAAGTTGTGCTTATGCAACCCAACTTGTCTGAATTTCTCTGCTTTTGACTGGTCATTTCTATTTGCTTTGATCGAAACAAGTCAAAAATAAAAAAAAAATCCATTACATAAAAGCAGAGTGGTAACCGTTAAAAATTTGCATATATTTATATATCAATATAAAAATTGTTAATGAAATTTATTGATTATCTTTTAGACCTCATATCTGGAGTGCTAGTTTTATGATTTTATGTAATACATGTTCTTTCAGGAGTGGTAAGTATGAAATGTAAGAAAAAATGGATGTAAGAAGTCAGTATGTGTTCATAATGATAGAAATTCTATGTATATTAGAGTTTCATTGATGTTGATAATTTTGTTAAATATTATGCATCCGGAGGGCACATTTATTTTAGTCTGTGACAAAACTTTTTAACCCTGACCATTACAAGGAAGTCCCATCAACTTAAGCCTCCAAATTCCTTAAGTGCATGCACCTTGATAAGCACTATTGGCCACACCCACTTGGAGGACACAGGGTCAAGGCCACCCCTGGGGGCAAGCCATTCATTCAAACCTAGCATTTGTTGTTAACATTTTCTGGGTTTTATTATGTTCTGAATGAACTCAAAATTAAGCGTATGATTGAAATCTTCAAAATTCATCAATTATTGCTTAATATTATTTTTAATGTGGAATAAGTCTCAAATTGAGACAGATTTTTCATTATTTGCTCAATTTTATGAGCACGGTTATTCATTTTCTGCTGTTTTTTAACAGACTAGGTTTTAAATTATAGTTTAGAAAACAGTTAATTTCTAAGATTAGAGTTGGGTTAATCAACTTGCATCTTATTGAAAAGAAAATATTGCAAACTCTTTAAGGCTTTTACAGGGCTTCCACTAAGTTTAAATTTGGAAATCAGAGACTCCAAAACGTCTGACATTAGAAGTCACATCTTATATGTAAAGAAAGAAAAGCATAATAGTTTGGAAGTCACAAACCAGATCAAAAAGTAAAAGACTCTCAAACTTCCATTAACGGAAGCCCTGCTTTTAGAAGTATAAAATCTTGATTGTTTTGGTTAGTTATAACTTATTGATTGAATTTTTTATTTGCACAAAACAGCATAGTATCTTAGTTACAAGTCCCCCCCCCCCCTTGAGTTTCCTGTTTTTCCATACTTTTATTTGACAGGAACTTTATTTACATTAACCATTTAACATGATTGACAAGACTAAATATTTTTGTTATTGTTACTATAAAAATACCAGGAAATGAAATAAAAAATATTTAAATTGCATATGAAGTAGTTGATTTTATCTTTTCACTTTGAGTAAAAATATTTTTTTTGTAAATTTGAAACTGAAAACTGAATAAAAAGTTGTGTATCAAATTACTTTAGACTAGAAAAAAATCATTATGAATAAAAAATGCATGACTAGCTAGCCTAAAAGTAAAAGTTCAACAAAAATATATATGAAAAGTTTCAAAGTGACATTTCATCAAATACATAAATAAATGTAAATACTATTTAGTTTATAAAACATAACTATTTTGTTGTACAAATATTTACTTTGATGTGACTGTTTACATTTTTGTAAAAAAGAAATATTTACAGTTGAATATATAAAGAGAATTAAATTTAAAGGCTGTAACACAGTCTAGTAAAATCGGAAAAAAGTTTTTCCTATCTACATCTCAAATATGTCGATGCTCATTTCAGCTTTTATTAATTGTTAAGAATTTATCTTGTACATTTTGACAACCATTTCATTTAGTTAGCACTGACTTGTTGCTATGAACTTATATTCCTATGAACTTTTTTTCTGATGAACTTATGTTTGTATGAACTATCAGGCTATGAACTTATATTTTCATTAAATTAAACAAGTCTTGATGAATTTTAGTCTGAGATATGTCTAGCCTAAGGCATGTACATTTATTTTATTTTCATGATTTATATGTGTGCATTCTTTCATGAATTAAATGAGTTGTATGTATATATGTATGTAAGATAATTTCAAGTCTTGTGTTTTATGAAAGGTTTTGTATATTCAAGACATTATTGTGTTCACAAATAGATGATGAATATACTATATGCTCATATTAAGTAGTCATTATGTTTGTAATTTATGAATCATACTGAATGAATAAATCCATTTCTCATTTGAACGAGTAATCTGTCTATTTGTTTTTTATTTTTCCTTGTTTCAATTGGGTTTCAATTGTTCTTAATCAGAACAGTATCTGTAGATATATTAAATCTGAATATTTGATATAATTCTAATATAAAGAACAATTGTCTACTGATGGCAACACATTCTACCCATGTGACCAGTGTAGACTTAAATCATTCAGCACTATTCAGACTATATTTTGAAAAATCTTCCTAAAAATGATAAATGGTTTCATCGGAAAAGTTCATTTAAGATATTTAGTACACTAAGGGTTATAATATGGTTTATCAAGTACAGTATATTATGATTGAAGAATTATGCTTAATATATACTCAATAAAGTCTGCGTTGCTGGGTGATTAAAAGTTTCTGACTGAATTGTTATTGGCTCCTTGAAGCTATTGGTTATTGGCTCCTTTCTGACAGCTTTTGGTAAAAATTTCACCAGGAACTTAGGATTATTTCAGTTGGCAAAGCTTTCTTCTATAAGGTTGATGCCTGATCTTAACTGAAACATGAAGGAAGTTTTCCTGCAACACATAAGCTGGAATGTCGTCGTATGACCTTCATAGTGCCAGTGTGATGTAAAACCCAATTTTAAATAATATACTAGTCCTTACAATATATAGATTATACTATACTCGTTTGTTTTGCTTAGTTTGGTTTTACGGCACATCCAACACAATTTAGGTCATATGGCACCGAAACAGGAAACATGATTTTGGCTTACCTTGTGTGTTAAAAACCACCCCCTGCTGAAGCTAAGAAATGCATAGACTCCAGTGTTTCGAATCCATTTAGTCACCTCTTACGATTACACGGATAAACGGTGGCTACAATTCTGATACCTTCACAAGGGGATTTTATACTGGTTGTGTAGTTTTGTAAGGTATTTTGTTTATTGAAAATCATGCAACTGTTACAAGAATAAAATAACGTATTGTTTAACTCCTGAAATCGGGTCAATTCCTTTGAACCCAACAAGAATTAATGAGCCTATATTCAGCTCAGTCTTCATCAAAATTATTCACTGAACTATGCAGTTAATCTGTAATATGAAAGAGACTTGCTTAAAGCTCTTTGTTCTTCATAATCTTCAGGTCTTGAGTCACTCTTTAAATGATGCAGTTATTGCTAAATGTATACCCTTACCAGATCTGAAAGAAGATCTTGGGTTCTACTAACTACATTGTATAAAAATTTATTTTCCATTTAATTCCGAGTATATTTCTTTGTTATCCTTTGCAGTTTTTTCCATAAGTGATTCATTTAATATTTGTAAGATTTTCAAATTTTGTTTTTAGGCCTTTGGGCCTCAGAGGAGTTCTTTTAATTTCACTATTTTTAACATGATGTTTATTAAATGCCCTCACAGCTCTGCAAGAAGATCAACTACATGTACATGTATTTTAAATTGCTTTTAAGAGGAGTTTTGGATAAAGAACTTTTTCTCTCTTCATTTAAAGTATGTTGTAATAAGGACAATATATCTGGTAGCATGTACAACTGAGTCAACTTAATCGAAAAGAGGAAATCATAAGAGTGGAGATAAGTTAGTACATCAGCAGAATCTTCAGAAGCATGAGTTTGGTGAAAGCTAGTTGGTATAACTGACGTAAAAGCTATTTGGTATATTTGACACTTAAATAATTGTAAGCAAGAGCACCTCTATCATGGGAGCATTATATGCTCGAAAGTGTTTTTTTTTTTAGTAAGGTTGAAGCATTTGTAAGACATGGGAATTAAATTAAGAATTACCTCCTTCAAATAACAATCCTCCTATGAAGTTTGAACGCTGTGGGCCAAATGGAACTAAAGTTATGCTCTGGAAACAGTTTTAAGGTAATAGTGACCTTGACCTTGTGACCCCAAAATCAATAGGGGTCTTCTACTCAATATGGACAATCACCCTATGAAGTTTGAATACTGTGGGCCAAATGCATCTTAAGTTATGCTCGGGTAACCAAATTGCTAACGGACTGACAGACGGACGCCAGGGGGTATAACATAATATGCCGAAAATTTTTTCGGGCATATAAAAAACGAAAAGGAGAAATAAGAAATACACACAATCAGAACAGAAATGATGAACAAATAAGAAAGTTAGTTTTAAAAAGCATATATTTCATTAAAATCCCAGTAACCATAAGCCAGTCTTAAACTAAATTTAAAATAAATTCAAAAAAATATATGTATATATAAGATTTAACAAAGAGTTAAAGGTCTCTCTAATAAAACAAACGAAAATAAAACGAGTACAAAATAATACAGATCATTATACAATCTATATATAAACTTTTAACCTGTTGTTGGCCACTGAATCTTCCCACGTAACCAGTGCAGACCAAGATCAGCCAGCATATATGTGCTGCCTGACCATGGTCTGTACCATTTGCTACTTAGTGCTTTTTTTTAAAAAATTCCCTGAAAATGATGAATGGTTTTGTCCAGATAGAAATATGGACAAGTCCATTTTGTCAATTAAGTGCAATAACAGATTAACTCCTTTTAAATTATATGTGAAGTTAACGGGTAACTGCACCTTAAAGTGATGATTTAAGATATTAAGCGTGGTATAAGAACTAACTTCGAAGAGTGAGGTTTAAAAAAGAAATAAGAAGTTTTTGCCTAATAAGAAAATGCCTACAATAACTGACAATGGTTGTTAATAAAATTCATATTTTAATCTTCAATCTGCAAAGTGAAAATTTAACAGAAGATATAAATGTCAACTCCAAATACAATTTGCAACATGTAACTGCACCTGAAACATTTTACAGAGAAACCAATACAAACAATTTGTTGGCACAGTGATACTACTTGTCTTGTGTTTATATTTTGATAGAGAATAGAATTGATAATAGAATACCGACTTTGTTGTCAATTGGTCTCTACAAACAATTGTAATTTGGCACAAAAAATCAGAGTTTTCAAAATGTCATTTCATAAAGTAGGTGAGTATGTGTATAAGAAACGGCTAGAAAAGCATGTAAAGAAAATTAACTTAAGAAGCCAGGGGTTTTGACCATTTCTCTATGCAGTTAAAATTCTTATTAAACTTGAATTTCTAAAATCTACTTTTCTCATCAAATACATGTACATAATAATAAGTACATAACTTAACGGTAATTCAAACCAACAGTATTTACAGAATAAAAATATATTAAAAAAGTGAATCACAGAAAAAAGTATATCAAAGAAAAGTGTATCACAGTTCTAAATTCAGTGAAAGACATGTAAAGAAATCAATTCTCACTTACATAACATGATAAAGATGTATAATCACAGTGCTTTTAACATTCATAAGCTGATATAAATAAATAACACCTTCTATCTAAGGCAATATAATACTATAATGCCAGTCAGTAATTGTATACATTGGTAACAACACACTTTAAGCTTAAAACATTCAACAAAATACCTCATTCACAAGTTAATCTTTCCCATCTTCTGACAAATCTGTCACAAGGTGTTGTAATTACATACATGTATGAACATTTAAAACATACATGTATGAACATTTAAAGACTAGCACAACTAGTTGGTGATCAAACTCATTAAAATCAGATCATCGTTTAGGCTCTGTTACTCTTCGCTACGAAGCTAGCGAAGGGTAGTGGAGCCACAGTTAGGATATTATTTTAATGAAATTGAGTTGGTAATAAAACAAAAACTCAACTAACAATTCTTTTAAGCATTACATAAGTACCCTGTATATCATTACATATGATATACTATACCTGAAGGTTTCTATGACAACTTAACCTACAAATATCACTTCCAGATATCATAAAACTCTTGATACTATTGGCCTCTGCAGAATAAAAGCTAAATGAGCTCTATTCTATTGCTTTAAACTTTAAACTGATTTTCAATACAACAATGGAAATTTCCGATGTAAAATATGAGTAAAGTTCAGACTACAGAAAGCTGTTGTATTCCTAGATTGAAATGTCATTCCATTGCCATTTTTTCATGCTGTCACGCCCTGTAGGAACGGACATTTCCCTGACGTAGTGCGAGTTTTCCCAACCACGCTTCACTTGACGCTTCAAAGCGGTATAGGGCATGTGGGTTTTTGGTATTGATGGACTGGAAATATAAGCTTCTTCAATTTCATAGTCACCATGGACTGGTTTAGATGTGTACGTAAGTGTGACAGAACGCGGTCGTTTCATCGTGGCGGCTGGCATCGTGTTACTGATGGAGTGACTTAAAGGGTGGTAGTTCCTTCTGAAGATATCAGCATCTAATAAGAATAAAAAAAAAGAGAGAATTATGTAATGTTTGGTACTTTGTATGTACAATAGTCCAATGACATCTATAAATCATGATACATTGTATAAACAACTAACACAAAGTGTTTCATTTACTAATTTCAAGTGCGCTGGAGCTGCATCTATTTAAGCGGGAAGACATGTTTCAGAGAATTATGGGAAAAAAGACTTGCTTTAGTGATAATATAAATAAATTATATGTACATAATTCTACAAATTATCATATGTCTGTATATATTTTTATGCTCAGCCTATTTTGCTTAAAAAGGAACTCTGGACCTAATTAAGAATGCTGCCCTGTTTTAAAGAATACATTATGTATATGTATCAAATCAGAAATTTTTCGATTTTGAAATTAGTGTCACAAGTAAAATTGACATTTAATTCATTTGATAATATATATTGATAATAACTGATGGAAAAAAAATCCAGTATGATATAATGGCAGTACAAGATTGGAGAAATACAGGTGTATTACAGCTTCATCTAAATTTATGTGTAGGCCGACTTCTAGGGCAGATTGTCAGAGGTGAGTAAAAATTTGGCGTATATAAAGTTACATATGTATGTTCATCATGGATTATTGGACATTGCAGGTAGACAAATATTTTTTTTTTCCATTTTTTTACACTTTCTTAGTAAAACAAGTATAGGCCACATCCTATAGGACCCAACACCACTGGAATTGTGTGGTAATTTCTGTGGTCATTAGAGTTTCTATGTTCATGAAATTGCATTAAATTAATAAAACTTGATGAGATTGTTCTTATTTAAATTGTTGGAGAGCTACTGGGATTTAAAAATTGGACACCATGGCATTATCAAAGAAAAACTATAATGACACTGGGATTAAAATTTTTATCTCATATATAGTTTTCATGAAAACATTTAGATTAAATACTAGGTCATGTTTGAGTTATGAGCAGTTTACATCAAGTTCAAAGGAAAATCATCTTCTTTTCATCATACATTAAAGTTTTTACTCACATTCAACTTAGCATGTCAGATGACACAAGTATTGCCATTCTTTACTCAGGTCAGCCATCATGACTTTCTTATTTAGAATTTTAAATGTACACATAGTAAAAATTTCAACAAAGGGATAATAATTTATATTCATAACGTTCTGAAAAAAAACCTACCATCATCATAACTTGAGCCGACTGTAATTTTGTCATGATATTTCGCTGATATCTTGATAGGATCATATGGACCGTTGACAACCTCAGGCTCTGAAAAAACAATCACAATTGTCAAAGGGTGAGAAAATGTGCACTCTGACCGGGACTCGAATCTGGGACTCTCGGAATATACCGCTGCTCTTAGGTACAGACTGAGCTATCCAGTGGCTATCTACTCTAAAAAGTGAACAGTTCAATACCATAACACAATGAAAACTAAAACTGACAGCTACAGAATTACAACAATATATTTCTTTGAACTAGCTCTTAAAAAAATGTTACCCAAAACTGCTACAGAAAGGTTGTATAATTATGGGGAAACAACAAATAATGGTATTTGTCATAATATGTTTCACATTTAATTACAGGAAGCTAGGAAGCTGAAAAATTTCATTTTAATTACCAAGTCCATTTCCAATTATTAGACACATTTTTGAGACTCAAATTTCAAATATGGAGTGGGGATTGCATCTTATAATTGAACACAAAAGAAAATTGAAAATTTAACAAATTTCTTCTATCTTCAATCTTTTCATGTTTTGTATTTTACAATTAACGGGTTGAACAAATTGATACACTGTTACTTACTTGGTGTATTTCCAAACAGTGCTTCATCAACAAAAGAACCTTCTCTTTTCCTGTGATACTTATTGTACAGACTGAAAAAATAAAATATATTGCTTAAAATCAATACATATTTCACACACTGACAAGTGATCAAAAGAAAGGAAAAAAACTTAAATTTATGAATCACCTACAATTTTTTTTATACATTATATGCTTTTAGATACATAATATATACATGTACATGTATATCTTATAAAAGTAATATTTTTTAAGTAAAAATGCTCTGAGAATAAATATAATAATCCAGTCTAAATAATGAAAGTGATTTTCATTTGTTTTATAAAAGGATAAAATTGAAACTATAAAGATTGAAATCACTTTCTTTATCTTATTTAACTGTATAGATTTGATGACCTTCATTGAAATGTAAAAGCTGAATAAAATTGCTAAACATGAGGAAAATATAAAAATTTAGGATAAAGTAAATTACTCTGAAACATTTAGTGTCTTGATATTACAAGGAATATTCATACCATTACAATATACACACTTAAAACTATCACTTACCATCTCTGTATTGGTATAAATCTTATTCTATTGGCTCGTACAAACAAACCAAACTCATTTGGACACTGGAAATATCTTCTACCATTCACCATTCCATCACAGTTACCAACTAAAAAACAAACAAAAAAATCACACTTTATACATGTACTTTCCATAATAAGCATGTATGTACTTTGCTATATAACAACATTTATGTTACTGTATCACAGGAACAAATATGACCCAAAAGAAGTAAAATCTGGGTGTAATCAGATGACTTTGCTGACAATTGTTGCTCCAACTCTAGTGGCACTTCTGCAGCTATAAAGATACTGAACTAGCAAAATTCATTTAATTCAAATATAAGTTCTAGATTAAAATATGTACATAATAAACCAATTTCATGTTATTTTTATCAAATAGTTCTTCAAAAGTACTGTCAATACAACAGACTAGCATCCTCAGAGATACATTTTACTACTTCATTCCAATTCTAAACAACTGTTTGTGTAATATTATTAATCCAAAGATCACTGAGTATTTCTACAACAGCTTAAATAAAACTGACATGACATGGTGTTGTTTTTTTATACAATAATCTTTACCTCGCTCATCTAGATAAACACCAACCCATTCTCCTTGTTTTCCAGCCAGACTTCCTTTGTACTGTACAGTCCCTTTAATGTTGCCCCAGCCTATATTGACTTCCACCTTCTGTCCAACATTTACATTGTGAAATAGCACCATTTTGTAAAGATCTGTAAATGATATTTGTTAAAATATACAGTTATATACAGTGCTACATAATACTTTATCTTGCATGTAGGCTTTTCTTTTTTCTCTAGGTTTAATACATTGAAGGTTTAAACAGTTCTTACAGCTGCATGTTCTTACTCACCATTCATATTCATAATGCAGGAACTGTGAAAAAAGTTACGCCAAATTTAGTCCTATAAATATGACACCAAATTTAGTCCTATCAATATGACGTTGCATTGCCCTTAAGATATTTTTTACTTCTAAGTAAACTATTACAAGCCTGTAACATCCAATATATTAGCTTAAGGTCTTCTGCGTGCCCGTTTATGTACTATGACATGATGTGATACCGCATCAGTTGAAAACAAAAATATTAAAAAGCCACTTATAAATATTTGGAAGCCAGAACTACTAATATATTAGACTACGCCAAATTCAATTGTGCAAAATTTATATAAATAGGGCCTATACATAGAGGAAATGTATGACATAGTAGACTAAACAGATCAATATATATATATTTTTGTTTTTTAAATTGAAAGAAATGAATGGCTTATAAGTCATTATAAGGATATACGTGCACACAGTGTTTTTTGTTCAAAATGAATATGCGTGTGTTCAAGACTATGTATAAGTTTGGAAAAATAGCAATTCAATTGAAAATTTTAAAAGTAATGAAAGCTATAAGCAAAGCCAAAGTGCACATGAATTCAACACATTTTATTTTCAATAATTGTGAACTTATCAGGTGGACACTTAAAGATAAGATAAGATAAGATAAGTTTTATTTCAAGTCGGCAAGTTTTCAACATTACAACATAAGCTCTAGGAGCTTTTATAACCGACTGTAAAACTTAACCACTGAACTAACCAAACAGCAAGGCTTATAACGTTTTAATTAAATGGCTTTATTACACTCCTGCGCCGCGGTTTATGTGATAAAAAATGCTAAACTATTTATACATACTTTAGATTGATACACTTTGAAGACTTTATAGTGTAATCACATAATTAACCAATCAATCAATGGTGACAGGTGATTGTTTACATGTATCTAACCAGCATTGCAGCCACATATTCGTATTTATAATAAATTTTAATATTTTACCACCCTACTTTTTTTTATATTACATTCAATATGTAATTTTATAACTCAGATGTTGTGTAACCCTTAGCATAATCTAAAGTGTTAATAAAGATATTTCTAATGTTTGCATTCGAAAATTTGATACTGAGAAAAATGATAGCTTTAAAAATCAATTTCTCTCAACAATATTGAAGAAATTGCATGATTGCTGTCACAAAAACGATTAATATTGCAAATGATTGTTGAATTTTATCTCAGTTATTAAAGTAAGTTGTAAAATAAGCTAATAAGTTGACAATGTTTTAGTAAATCTCTAATTTCATGTATTTTCGCGACATAAATAAAAACAAATTGACTATAGAAATCGGCAAATTCTGATTAAAAAGTTTAAAAACATTGTTAAAGAAGATCTTTTATTTTGGAGGACTTTTAGAATCAGTCCGCAGCAAAATCCATGTTTTATAATCCTAACCCTTAGACAGACGTTTCACAATTAAGACGGTTCACACCAAGACGTTTCACTCCCAAATGTGAGTGAAATGTCTTGAAGACGTTTCACTCCAATATTATACCAAAGTTATTCTGATACTTATGATTTACTAAAATAGACCTGAAATTTAAATTGACAAAGAGGGAGTGAAACGTCTAGGTGTGAACCGTCTTGGGAGTGAAACGTCTCAATAATGAAATGCCTTGGGAGTGAAATGTCTGGCATTTCATCCTAACCCTTAACCCTAGAAGTAATCTAAGTGACTTTTAGAGAATCATAAACTGATGAATATTGAAGAAACAATTTTGTGTAAAATGTTAAAACAATCCACCGCTGGTTAAAATTATCTTGTAATTCGAAGAATTTTGCAATTTATCAGTCTTCGACTTAACCCACTCAACCGACGACCGAGTCGAGTAAATTTGCGGGTGGTCGAGTGAAAATTCCAAGCTGGTAGCCCGTCTGGTCAAGGGCTTTTTTCATATCCAAATTGAAATAATGTTGGAAATATGCAGAGCTCCAGATAGCAATGTTTTGGCTTTATGAAAATACAATATATTTTTGCTGAATTGGATGGAAAACTAAAAGTACTATTGTCAAAACTGCTGTAAGTTGAAAACGAAAGTAGCAGGAAGTGACATCGAGTAAAAAGGGAAAGTAACTCTTGGGAGTTTCTGAAATGAAATTATTGATAAAGTTAAATTTGGTGTAGTCATCGTAGGACTTAACCTAATATTCAATTTGTTTAGACATATATTATAATGTTTTTGCTACAAAATAAAGAAAAATAGTGTACTTGCCACTTTAGTTATTGGAAAACATATTTCTTCCTTGCCATCTGCAGTTTTGTACTCAATATTTTCGTACCAAGTTAACAGTTACGGACAATTTCCTTAAAGACTAATTCTTTGTGTATAAAAGTTTTAATTCTATTATATTTATTTTTCATTAATTCTAATTTTAATTATAAATAATCAAAACCAAAGAACGGCTTTAAAATGTAGTCTGTAGAAATAGAGTATGAATAAAGCCTCATGCTGACCATGTAGCTGATTGTAAAAGAATGTGACACATTCAAACAACATGTCAGCAACAAAAAAATGAGTCTTGTCATTAATTTGCTGTGTAACGTAAACAAACCCTAGTCTAGGGAAGCCTGCCTTAACAGAGCAAGTTTTGTATTATTTAACATTGAATCAATTTTTTATTATATAAGTCAGTCTGATTTATGTAAGGAAAGGAACTTTTTAGAAGGCAATGGAATTTGATAACAAAACAATGCAAATTATTTTTGTGTCGCCTCTACGGAGTAGTGGCGACATATAGGGATCACTTCTCCGTCGTCTGTCTGTCCGTCTGTCCATCTGTCTGTCTGTCTGTCTGTCTGTCTGTCCGTCCGTCCGTCACAAAACTTGTCCGGACTACTCCTCATAAACTACTGGTGCAATTACATCCAAACTTTACAGGAATGATCAGTACCAAGTCTTGTTGTGCATATTGTCAGGATTTTCCGGTTCAATGATTTTTGTCAGAGTTATGGCCCTTTAATAATTTTTAATTTTAAAGTTTGTCCGGACTACTTCTCTTATACCACTTATGCAATTTCAATGAAACTTTACAGGATTGATCTGTAGCTCAAGTCCTTGCGCATATTGCACGGGTTTTCCGGTTGAATGATTTTTGGCCAAGTTATGGTCCTTTGATAAAAAGGTTTCTTTTTCTGTGTGTTGCAAGATACACAAAAGCTTGTCCGGACTACTTCTCATAAACTACTGGTGCAATTTCATCCAAACTTTACAGGAATGATCAGTACCAAGTCTAGTTGTGCATATTGTCAGCATTTTCCGGTTCAATGATTTTTGTTTGAGTTATGGCCCTTTAATAATTTTTATTTTTAAAGTTTGTCCAGACTTCTTCTCTTATACCACTTATGCAATTTCAATGAAACTTTACAGGATTGATCTGTAGCTCAAGTCCTTGGGCATATTGCACGGGTTTTCCGGTTGAATGATTTTTGGCTGAGTTATGGCCCTTTGATAAAAAGGTGTTTTTTTCTGTGTGTTGCCAGATACGCAAAAGCTTGTCCGGACTACTCCTCATAAACTACTGGTGCAATTTTATCCAAACTTTACAGGGATGATCAGTACAAAGTGGTTAGTCTAGTTGTGCACTGTCCGTCTGTCTGTCACAAAAGTTGTCCCAACATGAAATTGGCCATCATGAGGCGACACATGTGATTACTGATCGCTCTTGTTATAAATTTTACCCCAGAATTTTCATTTTACTCTAGATTTTGATGGGTAAACCACCTTGGCCCTAAAAATTATTTGCAGCTTTATTGAACTTAAAACGCTTGAAATATTATTGATTGTTAGACATTTATTAGGCGTCATCTCATGCTTCACAATATGTCTTTTCTCTTGTATTTTGAAGGCACTAAGCCAAAAAGGAACACACCAAAAAAAAATAATAAAAGTAATACGAAAAGGAATATAAATATGTTGTCAATGCATGTATCAGCCGACATGGTTACAGTAAACGAGGAGAACGAGTATTTTCAGTTTTTAAACAATTTTTTTCAGTGTCTGTGGACAATGCCACAGAAATATCAAAATATCTTCTTTTCATATGTAGTTTAAATTCTTCTTATTTAAATAATGAAAGGAAGAAAAGTTGATTAGTTGATATTTTAATAATGTTAAATGGTATATAAAACATAGAAAGTGATATTTTTGTACAAAATGTATGCAAAAAATACCATTTTGGTTCGGGCTAGTTAAAATGTGTTTGGGCTAGTGAAATTTGCAAGCTGCTAGCCCGACTGGGCTAGCGCTGATAAAAAATTAAGGCGAAGACTGATTTATTATTGAAAATTAGATATTTTAAAAACATTTTGGGTGAAAAAATATTTTATTAGTGAAACAAAAAAAATATTTATAAAAAATAAGTGGGTTTGGTCATGTACATGTATGCTATCTAAGCCACGCACTGACTGCCTTTGTGCAATCCTAAAGTATCACATGCACCTTTGCATTCCTGAATACTTTAGGATCGCCTACAGTCTTTGTGTGATTGGGGTATTTGTCAAGAAATATATAAACCTGCAAAATTTTATTTCAATGTGCAGTAAAAAAATAACATACAGATTGAAAAGATGAAAAATGTAGGGTTTTTAGTTGTTATACAATTACTACTTATTAGATATTAATAGATAAGTTGATCAACCATACTTGTCACATGGTAAAGAAAGTAAAAACAAACTAAAATAATACTTTAACAGTCATGAGTGATTGATATCAAATATGTTTAATAGCTCCAATTAAGTTACCTATGTTCTTTTTATCTGACCATACTTGTGGTTAATATTAATATTTGTGTGCACTAACAATAAACAGACCATTTTTATGATAAAACCTTTTCATACTTAATGATGGTATGTTACTATATTTCAGGTGCAATGTTGAAAGTAATATAATGGCAGAAAAACACGAGAAAGAAGGCAAGCTGAATAGTCACCTGACTGGTGATTCTGTGCGAGTGGTAGCCGAGTCTGTTGGAATTAATGGCTTACCTGACACAGCTGCGACATACCTTGCTGAGGATTGTACTTACAGGCTTAAACAAATTGTCCAGGTGTGTTGTCACTTTCAAGCTACTTTCAGTGTGATTTTTTTTCAGTTACACAGTCATATTGCAATTCACAAAAACTTAGTTAACATGAACACTTCTTGTACATTTATAGTTTAAAAATGATTAAGTTGAATAAATAAATTGTTAATGTGTACACAGAATGTAACTTGTTTATTGGTATAAAGAACAATTATTTGAGTAACTTTATATACTCCTGTAAATTTCTGAGAAATATGTTATCATATCATTCTAAACAAGGTCATAGATAAAATGCATTCTATATTTTCATGTCTAGGAAGCTGTGAAGTTTATGAACCATAGTAAAAGGAGTAAGCTTACATGTACAGACTTTGACAATGCTCTTAGAGCAGAAAATGTTGAGGTAAGGTTTTGTTTTGTTGTTATTGTTCAGGATAAACAGTCACAGTGGGAGATGAACCTGTGGTTCATTTTCATGCACTTTAACAGGTTCTTACAGGCATTAAAGCACAACGTTTCTTAACCTTCAAATAGATTGTAGATGGATTTTTTGTTTCTTCTAAATTGCAACCTAGTTATTGTACAACTGAATGTATGTCAACCCCACAGTATTTAATACTAGTGTACCAAATATGACAAAAGTCACTGTAATTGCATCAGGAAAAGATTATAGTAACAAGAGTCTTACAGACTTCCCGAAAGTTGAAAAAAACTGTCAGACATTCGGTCTGACAAACCATGAAAATCTGTCGGACCGAAACGAAATCTGTCGGACCAAATAAAATTGATCAAAATCAAAGAATGACTTGTGTTTGTATTTCTAAGACACTTTTTGTTTTTATTTTTTTCGCCGTAAAAATCGGCACATTCCTTACAGCGCATTTTTCATCTCCTCCCTATCATACACCAACGATTCACTGTCTTGCTTCTATTTTTCATTAAATTTTGTCTCAGGTCTATTCTTTTTATCCTTTTACTGCTGTTTTGCCTGTTCCTCTGACATAGATTTTTTTATTTTTCCGAGGTTTGGCACCTTTTAGCGACGCCATTTTGTATACATGCGGCTTGGATAAAAGCCGGACAGTCGGACCGATCCGGAATAAAAACTCGTCGGACCTGATCAAAATTTATCGGACATGTCCGTCGGACCGACGTATTTCGGGAAGTCTGGTCTTACGTCCATTTAAAGTTATTAAGCAAGTCAGTGCAGAATACTGTTTCTTTATTATTATAATAGAAAAAAGGCAAACAAAGAAGCTCTTCCAGAGTAGTTTCCAAATAGGAGAGAAAGCCTTTTATGGTCATTAAGCTAAAAAAAAGTACTGTTAAAAGAGTTTGATGCACTTTGTATGTTTCATCTAGTTACTCTTGTTAGCTAAGTATTAGATTATTTCAAGTCACCTAGGTAGTTATATGTTTCACATTTTAAAAATTTATGTTATATAAAGGTATTTTGATTAAATTTACATGTACTCTTGCTACAGCCGTTGTATGGGTTTCACACCCCTGACCTGATACCATTCCGGTATGCCAGTGGCGGAGGCCGTGAACTTCATTTCACAGAAGATAAAGAATTAGACCTACAGGACGTTATAAATGCGACATTGCCAAAAGTTCCTCTAGATATTTCTATGAAAGGTATAATTTTAATTTCATGGACAGGTGATGCAAGAAATATGTATAACTGAGCCACTTCAACAATAGCATCAATATAATTGTTTTAAAATTTATACACGCAGTTGCAATTTAAAACCTCTAGGTTTTTTATGCTCCCCGAAAAATTTCGGGGGAGCATATAGTCGGCGCCTTGTCCGTCTGTCCGCACTCACAGGACAGTAATTATGTGGCTAGAGGGACAATAGGTAACTGTTCTTTCTCTTTGATGTCATTCATTCCGTAATGCTTTTATGTGGCTATTTTCTTTTGTGTGGCTAAAAAGAACAATAGAGAGAACAATAGAGTAGCCACATTATTACTGTCCTGTGAGAACGTCCGTCCATCTGTCCGCACTACTGAATAGGGATAGGGGGCCATCTAACTGTAAACAGAACAAAAGAGAACAATAGAGTTCATTCCGTAACAATAGAGTAAGGGGCCATTGGCACTCTATTAAACAATAGAAAATAACAAAAGAAATGGCCCCTTATTCCATTTCGGCCAGACGTCCGTCCGTCCGTCTGTCTTCCGTCGTCCGTCTTGTCCGGAGAACTTGAAAACCCTTGGAGATAATTTGTTGAAACTTCATACAGTGGTAGAGGGCATTGAGGGGGAGTGCAGTGTCAAAGAACCATAACTCTATTTTGCCCGGTTTTTGAATTATCTCCCCTTTTAGAAAAATCTTGTCCAGGACATAGCTGTAAAACTATAAGAGATATCAACATGAAACTTTGTAGGTAGATACATCTCAATGGGTAGTTGTGCAGTGCACCAGAATCATAACTCTGCCATGCCTAATTCTAGAGTTATTGCCCTTTGTTTATTTTTACTTTTTGAAGTTGTCTGGGACATAACTCGGAAATCATAAGAGATATCATCAAGAAACTTTGTAGGTTGATAGATCACATTGATTAGAAGTGCAGTGCAAAGAACAGTAACTCTGCCTTGCCTAATTTTGGAATTATTGCACTTTGAACGAGGTGTACTTTCCTGTGTCCAAAACCTATTCGGGGAGCATCACCCGGCTCAAACCGGGCTCTTGTTTTGTGAGCTATATGTATGTTTATTTTGTCTTTGACTTAAAACGATTTTCAAAGCATATAAAATTTTGCTTGCCATATGCGTTGAAATTGGATGAAAATAAAAAAAAATTGTATTGAGAAGGGACCTGACTTGGAACATAATAGATTTATGTTTTATAATCTGCCATTAAAATGTTACTGAAAATTTGAAAACTTACCTTCAGTTTTAGGCATCTGGATACTGCTCTGGTTGCATTTTATTTTGTGTGTCATTTTCAGCACATTGGTTATGCATTGATGGAGAACAGCCGGCTATCCCAGAAAACCCTCCACCGGCTACGAAAGATCAACAAAAGATGGAGATATTAGACACGTCGGTAAAATCTGCCATAGACAAGAGTCATAAGCCGGCTAAATCATTGACAAATGGTGGTAGACTACCACATAAACCAAAGGGAGTGTCAGATCTTGTGAAGATGAAGGAATTAAGTGTCCATGAGTTGTCTGTTGTAAGTTTTATTTTTTTTGTGTGTGTTGATGACAGGATTATCCCAGTTTGTTTTGTATGTGTCACTGCACTATGCCATCTTGGTGATCAACAATAAATGTGTATGAATAAGTAAAAAGAACCTATGCTCAATAATTTATTGCATAAATTGATTTTAGTTAATGCTACAGTGATAGTTATTTACAAAATGTACTTTATTAGTCTGATTTTAAATGTTTTGAGCAGAAATGATATAAGATTGTTTTGTTGATTGATGTTCAACTCATGCTTAATAAATGTTTTGTTGGTTTATGTCTTAGACATTACTTAAATTGGTCTGTCAGTACATGTATGTACGTCAATATGTCTGTGTTCATTCATGCTTGAAGTGCTTGAGGTTGTTTTTGTGTATGTCTCAGACAATTGCAAAAAATGCTTTAAACTGGCCCTCAGCTTTTATTTTTTGTTGGAAAAACAATGCTGTGTTGTTTCAAACTAAGTATTTCACTGTGAAGCCTTCTTCAAAACAACGTCCTGAGAGCTATTGTGATGTTCATTTCTAAAAATAGAAGACCTGGGGAACAAATTATCCACTTTACTATTAATGGAAAAAAAAAGAGCCGACCAGAAGATTAGAGGTATCGAGGGGTTTCCTTATTGTTATCTTATTGGCGGCAAATTTCATTTTCCACCTGAATTCTTATGATTTAACAATAATTTGAAACAATTTATCCAAGAATAACATATTTAACCTTTAGAAAAGCTGAAGGCCGTTTTTAATTAGTCAATGTATTATGTTCATTATTTCCTGAAGGATTTTAATATTTTGATATTTTATTTGCAGGAGCAACAGCTGTACTACAAGGAGATAACAGAGGCTTGTGTTGGTTCAGATGAAGGCAAGAGGTCTGAGGCCTTGCAGAGTCTCGCCACTGACCCAGGTCTTCATCAAATGTTGCCACATTTTACAAGCTTTATATCTGAAGGGGTAAGCTATGAAAAACATTCTTTTATTTTAGAAATGAAACTACTGTTGTACAGATATAAGCTTTGAAAGCAAGTGGCTTCTGTGACTTAAATGGTTACTGTGTCTGACTTTGAATCTTTAATCCACACTGTTGTGGATTCAAATCAAGCCAGAGCTGCGGAACTTCCTGATAACAAAAATCTGCCGAGTTGCCTTTCAAAATTATAATTTAAAGCAGTATGTCTTGAGGGTTTGTACAAATTTTTAAGAAATTTAAACTTGTTCTAATGAATTAAAACATTATCAAATGTACAAATTAAGCAATTTAACCTAGCTTAAGGCCCTTATTAATCCACAGAAACTATCTTTAATTTGTTTAATTAAGCAGATAAAGAACTTAGTTGATTAGTTACAGGGATTTTTTTACAGGATTTTGGGAACACAACCCATATGATGGCATCTTGAAAGATTTAAACACAGTTTAAAAACAGTGAAGAAGCTCTATTTGCAAAGATTTTAGAATTTTTATTCAATATTTTTATTTTGTAACTTTCAATTGGGAATTTTTTCCTGTGGATTGGGAAAATAATATATTATTTTCAATTGGGAATATGACCCAATAACGGCTATAAAATAAGCCAAAAAAATCTGGGTTACTTAACTTACACCCATACCTGCCTTATTAAAGTTTCATCATTTAGATTTTAATTGTTTACAGGTGAAGGTGAATGTTGTACAGAATAATTTAGCATTGTTGATTTACCTGATGAGGATGATGAAGGCATTAATGGAAAATCAAACCATCTACCTGGAAAAATATGTAAGTATTTACATTTACGCCTATTAAATCCTTAACTTGTGTTTGAAATGACTAAGTTCTGTAGCTTTTGGTGGAAAATCAAACCATCTACCTGGAAAAATACGTAAGTATTTACAATAATGCCTTTAAACATGTATATTAAATGCTTAACTTGTGTTTGAAATGACTAAGTTCTGTAGCTTTTTGTGCAAATGACCGAGGTCCTGTCTATATATATATATATATATATATAAAAGTCATTTATTTTATTTTTAAAATTTTCCAGTTACACGAGTTTGTACCAGGTGTAATGTCATGTATAGTAAGTAAACAACTGTGTATGAGACCTGATGTAGATAATCACTGGGCACTGAGAGATTTTGCTGCCAGGCTGAATGCACAGATCTGTAGGTAGGTGGTTAACTGACTCATTGTTATTTCTTAATCAGATATATGGTAGATTTTCTGAAAAATAAGTCTTCAAAATAGTACTCTTCGAATAAAGTGGTTTGAACTTGCTTTATGCATTTACTTTTCACATGAATTACCTGTATTGTCACAAATATGTCAGGCTTTGCAAATATTTCTTTCCATCACTCCAATAAAAATTGAGAGAAAACAAATATGGTGATAAAAACATACTATCATAAGAAATAGAGTAGTAAAGTAGTAACAATATATAGTTTATTGTCCCTCGCCTTTTCGAAGGAAAAAGGGGGATATAAAAATAGGCTCCGTCCGTCTGTCCATCCGTCCGTCCGTCATACTTTTGTGTTCGGTCCATAACTTTGTCATTTATCAAAAAAATTTGAAATTACTTGGCACAAATGTTTGTTATAATAAGACGATGTGTCATGCGAAACAACCAGACCCCTACCTCAAGGGTCAAGGTCACACTTGTTTTGCTACATATGGTAAACATTTCGCTGTTTGATTTACTGTGCTGATATGCAACCATTCATTGACAGAATACAAGCTTTACAATTTTGCATCAAATTTAATTCTACTAATGGACGGATACCCCAAAATCAAACAATGAAATGCTGAGTTTTTGTTAAAAAAAGTAAAATTATATCTATTTTCTTGGAATTTTAGAAATTTTCATAACAACGTAAACAACATCCAGGCAAGAATAACAAAGACGTTCAGTAAAGCCGTCAGGTCTGAGAAAGCAGCTTTAGCTACAATATATGGTGCTTTATCAGGTCTGGGAGAATTAGGTGCCGAGGTATGTATCTCAGGCAGTGTGTCGATGACATTTGGTTGTTAACGAGTTGATATGGAGTATATTTCAATGATAATTTTTTTAAATGTATTAGGATGTTCGGTATTGATACTGAATATATTTCACTGAAATTTTAAATATTTTCATTAGCTCTTAATTCAATGTTGAAGGTATGGTGTTTTTTTTGTTTTTTTTTCTTTGGTTAAACGCAAAGATGAACTTGGTAAACATTAAATTTTTTTATAAAAATCAATAACCCTATGTATAAGGTGAAATATAGAACATTAACTTTTAGCTCACTGGGGGATGATGGTATTTATACCCATGCCACTAGTGCAGGCCAAGATTGACTGGTCGGCATATCCATGAAATCTGTTCATGATTTGCATTGTTTGCAATTCAGTAAGAACATATTTCGAAATTTTACCCTAGAAATGATAAATGTTTTTGTTCAGATTGAAAAATGGACAAGCCCATTTAAGATATTTAGCATGATAATGGTTAAATGTTCTTTTAATATTCACAATTTTAGGTAATAAATGCGTTTGTGTTGCCGAACCTGAAGATGATTGGAGAACGAGTAAAAATAGCTCTAGAAGGTCCCGTCATGAATAGTGCAGACAGGATTGCTGCAGATAATATCAAGAAAATTGCTGCGGTAAGCAGACTGTTATATAAAACATGTTTAAAAGTTTCATTTAGCAGCATTTTGTATTCAGTGGTTTTGTCTTTTCAGCATTATTAACATTATTTCAGGATTTTTATATGTATAGAAAAATTCTTTCGAGAAATTGTTTAAAGCTTTTCTTTGGACCATTGTTTTATACTGTATGTGCCTTTTGGAGATTCAAATTTCGCGTTTGTTAAATAAGTGGAGCTCCATTATAGGAATAAACTGTCTGATGTAATACACAGAGCATACCCCTCCCCTCTTTGAATGATAAGGTGACAAAAACAATGAGATAAAGAACTCAATATATATGGTAGCCATTCTATAGACAAATGCCATTTTCATTTTTGTGTCGCCTCTACGGAGTAGTGGCGACATATAGGGATCACTTCTCCGTCGTCTGTCCGTCTGTCTGTCCGTCCGTCACAAAACTTGTCCGGACTACTCCTCATAAACTACTGGTGCAATTTCATCCAAACTTTACAGGAATGATCAGTACCAAGTCTAGTTGTGCATATTGTCCATTTTCCGGTTCAATGGTTTTTAGCTCGACATTTTTTTTTGAAAAAAAAAAAGTAGAGGTATTGTTATAATCCTGGCGGCGTTGCCGTTGCCCTCCGCAAACTTGTACCTGGATAATAACTTTTTTGTTCTTGGTGTATTGTCTTCATTGTTGGCCACAACAACCCTTGGGACAAGACCTTTCAGTAGACCACACCAAACTTGACCTTCATCCATAAATGACCTTGACCTTCAAGGTTAATAGTCCAATTTTTGCTTGTTCATGCTGTTCTTGGCTGTTACTTTGTTATTTTTGAATGGATTGTCTTCAAACTTGAACATAATAATCTTCAAGGATATCCCTTAAAAATAACCAGTCAGACCTTGACATTCACTCATCAATGACCTTGACTTTGAAGGTCAAATTATTGAAATTTTCATTTTTTTGGCTATTATTGGCTGTAACTTTGTTATTTTTGAATGGATTGTCTTCAAACTTGAACATAATAATCTTCAAAGATAACTGCTAAAAATATACCGAAAGACCTTGACCTTCACTCATTAATGACATTGCCTTTGAAGGTCAAATTATTGAAATTTTCATTGTTTTGGCAGTAACTGACTGTAACTTTGCTATTTTTGAAGGGATAAACTTCATATTATAACAGAACATTCTTAAGGACCAGACCTTGTTGTTTATCAAACCCAAATTTGCTTGGGCTCTCTAATGACCTTGACCTTGAAGGTTATATTACTGAATTTTCTCAGATTGTGCATTTATCGGTGTGTGTGTATGTATAGTATATGTATTTATATATAAATATATATATAAATGTGTGTGTGTATATATATATACATATATGCAGGTATATATATATATATATATATATATATATATATATATATATATATATATATATATATATATATATATATATACATATATATATATATATAATATATATATATATATATCAAATATATATATATATCAAATATATATATATATATATATATATATATATATACATATATATACATGTATATAATTGCGTCATGTTTTTCTATTTTTTAGAAATTGCGTCATTTTTTCTATTTTTAGAAATTGCGTCATTGTTGCTATTTTTAGAATTTGCGTCATTTTTTGTTCTATTTTTAGAAATTGCGTCATTGTTGCTATTTTTAGAAATTGCGTCATTTTTTTCTATTTTTAGAAATTTCGTCATTTTTGTTCTATTTTTAGAAATTGCGTCATTGTTTCTATTTTTAGAAATTGCGTCATGTTTTTCTATTTTTAGAAATTGCGTCATTTTTGTGTCGCCTCTACGGAGTAGTGGCGACATATAGGGATCACTTCTCCGTCGTCTGTCTGTCCGTCTGTCTGTCTGTCCGTCTGTCCGTCTGTCCGTCCGTCCGTCACAAAACTTGTCCGGACTACTCCTCATAAACTACTGGTGCAATTTCATCCAAACTTTACAGGAATGATCAGTACCAAGTCTAGTTGTGCATATTGTCAGCATTTTCCCGTTCACAATGATTTTTGTCAGAGTTATGGCCCTTTAATAATTTTTAATTTTAAAGTTTTGTCCGGACTACTTCTCTTATACCACTAATGCAATTTCAATGAAACTTTTACAGATTGATCTGTAGCTCAAGTCCTTGCGCATATTGCACGGGTTTTCCGGTTGAATGATTTTTGGCCGAGTTATGGCCCTTTGATAAAAAGGTTTCTTTTTCTGTGTGTGTTGCCAGAAACACAAAAGCTTGTCCGGACTACTCCTCATAAACTACTGGTGCAATTTCATCCAAACTTTACAGGAATGATCAGCTACCAAGTCTAGTTGTGCATATTGTCAGGATTTTCCGGTTCAATGATTTTTGTCAGAGTTATGGCCCTTTAATAATTTTTAATTTTAAAGTTTGTCCAGACGACTTCTCTTATACCACTTATGCAATTTCAATGAAACTTTACAGTATTGATCTATAGCTCAAGTCCTTGCGCATATTGCACGGGTTTTCCGGTTGAATGATTTTTGGCCGAGTTATGGCCCTTTGATAAAAAGGTGTTTTTTTCTGTGTGTTGCCAGATACGCAAAAGCTTGTCCGGACTACTCCTCATAAACTACTGGTGCAATTTTATCCAAATTTTACAGGAATGATCAGTACAAAGTGGTTAGTCTAGTTGTGCACTGTCCGTCTGTCTGTCCGTCTGTCACAAAATTTGTCCCAACATGAAATTGGCCATCATGAGGCGACACATGTGATTACTGATCGCTCTTGTTCTATTTTTAGAAATTGCGTCATGTTTTCCTATTTTTAGAAAATTGCATCATTTTTTTTTCTATTTTTAGAAATTGTGTCATGTTTTTCTATTTTTAGAAATTGCGTCATGTTTTTCTATTTTTAGAAATTGCGTCATGTTTTTCTATTTTTAGAAATTGCGTCATTTTTTCTATTTTTAGAAATTGCGTCATGTTTTTCTATTTTTAGAAATTGCGTCATTTTTTCTATTTTTAGAAATTGTGTCATTGTTGCTATTTTTAGAAATTGCGTCATTTTTTCTATTTTTAGAAATTGCGTCATTGTTGCTATTTTTGGTAATTGCGTCATTTTTTTCTATTTTTAGAAATTGCGTCATTTTTTTCTATTTTTAGAAATTGCGTCATTGTTGCTATTTTTAGAAATTGCGTCATTTTTTTCTATTTTTAGAAATTGCGTCATTGTTGCTATTTTTAGTAATTGCATCATTTTTTTCTATTTTTAGAAATTGCGTCATTGTTTCTTTTTTTAGAAATTGCGTCATTTTTTTTTCTATTTTTAGAAATTGCGTCATTGTTTCTATTTTTAGAAATTGCGTCATTTTTTTCTATTTTTAGAAATTGCGTCATTGTTTCTATTTTTAGAAATTGCGTCATTGTTGCTATTTTTAGAAATTGCGTCATTGTTGCTATTTTTAGAAATTGCGTACTGTTGCTATTTTTAGAAATATGCTTAATGTTTTATTCATATATATACAAAATATATAAACAAAACTAATGTGACAAGACAGACCAACTAAATTTATAAAAAGGAAACATCAATATATGTTCAAACCTTTCTATGTTTGCGTTTAGAAAAAGTAAAAAGTCGAGCGTTGCCCCCGCCCGGCGGTGGCTCTTGTTGTCAGAGTTATGGCCCTTTAATAATTTTCAATTTTAAAGTTTGTCTGGACTACTTCTCTTATACCACTAATGCAATTTCAATGAAACTTTACAGGATTGATCTGTAGCTCAAGTCCTTGCGCATATTGCACGGGTTTTCCGGTTGAATGATTTTTGGCCGAGTTATTGCCCTTTGATACAAAGGTTTCTTTTTCTGTGTGTTGCCAGATACACAAAAGCTTGTCCGGACTACTCCACATAAACTACTGGTGCAATTTCATCCAAACTTTACAGGAATGATCAGTACCAAGTCTAGTTGTGCATATTGTCAGCATTTTCCGGTTCAATGATTTTTGTCAGAGTTATGGCCCTTTAATAATTTTTATTTTTAAAGTTTGTCCGGACTACTTCTTCTTATACCACTCATGCAATTTCAATGAAACTATACAGGATTGATCTGTAGCTCAAGCCCTTGCGCATATTGCACGGGTTTTCTGGTTGAATGATTTTTGGCCGAGTTATGGCCCTTTGATAAAAAGGTGTTTTTTTCTGTGTGTTGCCAGATACGCAAAAGCTTGTCCGGTCTACTCCTCATAAACTACTGGTGCAATTTTATCCAAACTTTACAGGAATGATCAGTACCAAGTCTAGTTGTGCACTGTCCGTCTGTCTGTCCGTCTGTCACAAAATTTGTCCCAACATGAAATTGGCCATCATGAGGCGACACATGTGATTACTGATCGCTCTTGTTTACTAAGCAAAAATTAGGAGCTAAAAATATTTTTTGTTTTATGGAATGAAATTATATAGATATATTATTTAGTTTTCTGTGCAACAATCATTTTAGAACTGTCCAAAACATTTTTATGTTTCAGTTTTATTGTGCCCCCACTTTAGTGGCGGGCATTTAGATTTACCCTTGTCCGTCCTTCGGTCTGTCCGTTCACTTTTGTGTCGCACGTAACTCAAAAAGTATTTGACCTAGAGTCATGAAACTTTACAGGAATGTTGATCAGCATGTGTTGTTGTGCACCAGGTATTTTCGTCTGGATTTATTTAGTATTTTTAGAGTAATTGCCCTTGACTTAGAAATTTTTTGCAATTTTCAACTTGTGTCGCAATTTACTCAAAAAGGATTTGACATAGAGTCATTAAACCTTATGGGCAGGTTGCTCAGCATATTTAGATTTGCACCTGGGGTTTCGCTTGTGGATTTATCCAGTATTTGTAGAGTTATTTCCGTTGACTTAGTAAAAAGATTGACAGAACAGTGGCGCGGTGGGGGCACCCGTGTCCTATGGACACATTTCTAGTTAACTTATGTATTTGTGAAATTCCTCCATGATATTATTTCTTTGACAGAAATACATCCCTCCTGTATTGAAGACACATCGGCCAAGTACGGATACAGTAGAAGATTATTTAAATGAGTTTGGTTATCTTGGACCGTTGTTACATGCCGCGGTCGCTAAAGAGCGATCAGCTTCTACATCCAGCATCAACATACAACAAAAACCTACAATACATATACCTCAGGTATGCAGGAAATGCCAAACTTTTATTGTTTGTTTTGTAAATGTAATATTATCATCGCATATTTCTTTTTTATCACATACACATGCTGCTTTTCCTACAACAGGGCTGTGCATATATTTTGATGTGTTGTCATCTGCCTTTTACATACATAGTTACGCATATGCTAAATGCAAATTTTACAGGATAAGCAATTTAAAAAAGTAGATTCTTTTAATAAGTAAAATCTTCAGAAATAATATTTTACTCTGCAAAGAGAATTCAAAGAATACATATAAAGTCAAGTGTTGTTTTATCAAACATTACAGAAATATTAGTCTTGTTACAGATTTATCTCTTAAACATATAAACACACCTTTAAATTGCTCTGCATTTTATTTCGACAGGCAGGAAAACCACATATTCTCATAGGAACTCCGGGCACGGTGCCTGGCTCTGCTCCTCAGACTCCAACATCAGCCAGGATCCAGCAGACTAGCATTACAATTCCACGGACGCCGACAACACCTAATATATCTGGGAACACTGCTCAAAAGTTTGTCATCATGCAGCAACAGAGGCCTGGCACACCTGTCCAGACTGGGGGAACTTCTCTTGTTAAAATGTTACCAACTTCCGTTCAGCAAGGGGGAATGACTCAAACTACCACTGGAGGACAGAAGGTTGTTGTTATGTCCCTTCCCCAATCTGTGTCTGTTTCTCAGCCTCTTCAACAAGTGCAGGGCACCAGTAGTGATGTTGGGATGAAATCTGTGTTTACAACAGGGGACCAGGCACAAGCCCAAGTTTCACTATTGAAAAGTGATCCAAATACTTGAATAAGTACAATCATTTTACATTAACAGGATTAAGTATGTGTTCAAATTGACGAAATGGCAGCAAATATTTCCAAAGGAAGTTTTATGGTTCTTCTGTTTTGGTGTAATATAGTATATGAAGACTTAAGTGCTATGAGCTAAATAAGAAATACGAGACAGGTTTTTATACTGTTTTAGTATTTTATTTTCTTACCAAGGTGACTGACAGATTAACATGGCTGACATTGTTGCAGGTTTTGTGTTTGAATCCTGATAGGGAAGTTAAATGCAGGAAAACAATGTTACTTCAGTTCAGTGCTACTACCTGTAAGCCTTATTATGTCATAAATTAATGCACATCTGAGGGCAATAGGGGGTGATTTTACCAGTGAAAGTGGAAAGTTATTGTATTTTCCAAAGCAGCTTTAAACCGCAATCAAACGAAAGGAATTAAATTGATGTAAACAAAATTACTTTTTGTTCATTCAAGAAAGATGACTCTTTTAGTTGCACTGATAATGCACAAGTTATAAGAATTGTTTTCCCACTGAGGAATTTTCTCTTTAGGGACAAAATAAAGATGATGCAAGGTTTATTGAAGAAAGACACAATGTCTTTTTTAAAGATAGTAAAATTTAATATAAATGTTGATGAAAATGAGTGTACCTTAAATGAACTAATATAAGATATACAAATATTTTGATTGTGTTGTTTTTCTGCAGTTTTTGTTTTTGGAATTCTTTTTTAACATGTACATGTAAAAATAAGCATGCAAACAATTTTACTCTCTCGTTTGATTTTATGCATTTATTTTTATCATAAGCTAAGGTTGCAAGATATGTTCAACATTTCATACATCAGCACAAAATCTTACAAAACTTTATATTTGAGTATACAATTTACAAAACTTATGTTTCTTCCTGTTGCACGCTACAGTTTTTCTGAGGTTATATACTTGTAGTACTAGATGATGTAGATGTAGAAACATCTTGTGGCTTTGGTGATTTCTTTCCCTTCTTTCCCTTCTTTGCCTTCCTTCCCTTCTTTGATTTTTGTCGCATATCAACCATTTTCCTGCCAACTTTCTTTGTCGCCACATTCCTCATGTCTACCATCTTAAAGGCTTTCTTTTTGTTTCCCTCAACAGCCTGTCCTTTTACATTTCTAGTGTTGCGCAGTAATGCCCTACCCCAGTTTTTAGAACCATAATATGCAGACTGTGTACCATTTTTCACAGTTTCAAACGCAGACTGGGCACCAGATTTAACATTTTCAGATGCAGTCTGTATCCCTGATTTCAATGTTTCGAGCACAGACTGTGCTGGAGTCTTTACCTTGTCGGCAACTGTCTTCATACTGGATGTTATGCTATCAATGATTCCCCATGTGTTACTTTCTTGTATAAGCATACCCAAAATAAGGCAAACAAACACAGCTTTTCCATATTTCATCTGCAAAAAAAAAATTGAAGAAAAAAGTCATAATGGAGAGCATAGAGCAAACTAAGAAATTATCCAAAATAAGACAAACAAATGCAACCTTTCCATAATACATCTACAAAGGAAACCATAACACCTTATAAGATATAACCAATGCACTTTCAGCATTTGAACCACTAAATCATTATTGGATCCAGTCTTTCAATTAAGTTTCGAATCCGAAATCTCCATCAAATCCATATCACACCTAACATAGTCTTGTTTTCATTTTTGTGAGTACAAAAATCCATATTAAATCCTTATTGCAATTGAAGTTACAATAAAGTTCTGTCAAAAAATAGTGGGGTGAAATAAAGAGGTCATTAAACATGGCTGAGAACAATACTGATTCTATTGGACTCGTACACAGCTGCAAAAATCTCCTTGTCCGATATAGGTTTCAAAAATATTAAGATTGTCTGAATTCATCAAACAAGGAATGAGAAATATGTTTATAACCTAGACACAAAAATGTGCAAGATGCTTCATTTGCAACTCAAATATAGTTCTAGTTATAGAGATCATATGTCATAACTGAAAATTTTTATTAAATTGCATATTGAATGTTGTAACTAAAATGTTCATTTTGAGACAGAATGTCAATGCTTAAATTATAACCAGTTGGGGATTGAATGTGATTACATTAAATATATATTAACTTGAAGATAAGTAGTTACTGTTTAAAAGTAAATCCTGTTTGAAATAGAATGTAATTAAGTAAAATTTATCCAACTAATGAGATGAATGTTAATATGTCTTAAAATATATATGCGAGTTTATATGTCATTACATAAACTATATCAGTTTGAAAGTGGAATGTCATTACTTAAATTATCCAGTTGGAAATTGAATGTAATTGAGATGAGATGAATGTCATTACTTTTAATATATCCAGTTGGAATGGAATGTCATTACTGAAAATATATCCAACTGGAATGGAATGTCATTACTGAAAATATATCCAACTGGAATGGAATGTCATTACTGAAAATATATCCGACTGGAATGGAATGTCATTACTTAGAATATATCCAACTGGTTGGAATGTCATTACTTAAAATATAAATATAACGGGAAATAAATTTCATTACTTAGAATATATTCAATAGGATTCTTAAAATATACCAAGTTGGAGATTGTATTTCATTTATGAAAATACATTCACCAAGATAATATTAAATGTCATTTTTCATGCTGCTATTTTAAAGTAAGTAATGTATGCCCCATAAATAAAACTTGCATTTTTGTGTTACAACAGTTAACTTTATTAATTAGTAGCTATGAATGAAATATCAATGGATACTGACACTTTAAAATATGTTCAATTTGTTTTAACTGATCACTAAATTGTCAAATATCAATTGATAGTTTTGTATGTATGAATAAGCAATTTGATAGATGTATGGTTAAAAAAAATCATGTATATTATTAAGCAAAATTTTGTGATTATCGTAACATAATTTTGGACACTGCTTCTAAAATTTGTAAAAGTTTAATAAAAATGACAATGATAGTAGATGTAGTACTTATTTTACTACTATTTACAATGAAGAAAATCGTACCTTTATTTTGTACTGTCTCAAACTCAGACTGACAAACGTCTACTGTCTAATCCATGGACTAATATATATAAATGTAAATATATATATAAATGTAGTTAAGTAATGTGAAGCCCATACATCACTTTGTCCATTAATTAATATGCCAGTAAACAATACGTCACTCTTAAGAAGAACTGACCATCAAGCCAAACAAAGTATACATTTATTACTAATTTATGTGTTTGATATACCTTGACCATATTTCGAGGGCAACATTATTATATTGATGGTTTACTGTCCATGATCGTAAGTTGTAACATATAATGTATGCATCATGGCTTTTAAAAAATGACTTTAACAAAGAAATACATTTTACATTTCAATTATACTTTATTGCATATTATTTAAAAAAAAATTGTGTGACATTTAGGGAATGTATCTGTAAGGATAATAATGTAACAGGAAGTGTGTAACTTGTAGCCACAGATTGTTTTATGATATTGACCAATGCTCACATAATTATTGGTATTTTGACATGATTTATAGATTTGAATCAAGACTGCAACTAGAAAGAAGATTCTTAATCCACAGTGCATATCCAGTAATGCAGGAATGTGCAAATAACTTAAAAGTAACACCGAATCTGTGCAAGGCTATTGCCAAAACGAATAATACAATAAGTAAATGAACAAAAATATTTTATTCTTAATTAAATTTAAAGAAATGAAATAGCGCATACGGCTGCTACGATATTGTACTTTAATCAGCATTATAATTGTTTTCAGGAATATATTTACTTCCTTAGATCATTCGTGAGAAAGACAATCTGATTATCGTTTTGAAGATGATTTTTGTGTTTCGTCAAATAACTATGTTCATTTTACACATTTAAAACAAGTGTCGTATAACAATTGTAGGAAGCCAACTAGTAAAATAATATTTAGCTTCTTTTAATGAGATAACCGCCGTTGCTTCAGTTCCTAATTTATGAATTCAGCTTGACCTCGTAAAAATGGTCTCAATTACGTTTTATCTGCTAAATCAAGTATAATATGACACAAGTATATTGGAAAGTCTCAATTACACCGAATATAAAAAATCATAAAGTAATATATACGTTATTGGAGTGAAAGATATCAAAGAAACTAAAAATAGCACATCAATACGCTAGTCAGGTCGTCATTTTCATGAATGATCTTGAAAATTAAACATTTTCATGGAAATATTATTGATGAGGTTTAAAGTATAATGTATCCACACACAACCGTATGTGCAAATTCATTTCTTCCAATTTGGTGTACAATAATAAATATTGGTCAATTTACTTATCATGGTGCTCGTTTTAGCCATTAAATTGCACAATTCTGTGTTACTTCTGCACAAGTCCTGCGTTATTTGCACATTACTGGATATACACAGTGTAAAGAGGAATGCCCTCATCATAGGAAAAAAAAGAACATGTGTTTTTCGTTTGGCCTTAGTTCTTCGTCTACACTGTACTAGTTATAAAAATGATGACCTTCGCAAAATTACACAAAAGATACATGTCTAAGACCTTGACAATAACCTGTTATAAATAAATAATAAATATTTTGCCAAATTAAATGTTTGAATATAAAATGTCCTTTAGCATTTTATGAAACAAGATGTTCAAAAGGGCCTATATACACTGTACTGTATCACTCACCTGAGTAGATGGAATATAAATGTTATATTCTCATAGGGATTCTTTAACCATAGGGGTACAAATTATGTAGTGTTTAAAAAGAATGATTTAAAATAAATCTGGCTTCAGGGTTGGGGTCAGTTTTGACTAAAAGGATAAATTAATTTAAGAAATAATACAATGTTTATCCAAAACAATTATTTCATTGCTCAACAAGAGCCACAGCCGGGCGGGGGCAACGCTAAACTTTTTCTAAAAGCAAACAAAGAAACGTTTGAACAAATCTTAACGTTTCCTTTTTATAACTTTAATACGTCTGTCTTGTCACACTAGTTTTGTCAAATGATGAATCCTTTTCATAAATAAATGACAATAGAAATGTAAACACACACCAATATATATATTATATAGTCAATTAA